GAGGGGAAAGGAGTCACGGAATGATGAGATTTAACCGCGATTTCATAAAAGCTTTTTTCGTTGCGTGGAGGTGAACGAGGGTGAACCGAAGGAGAGCGAGGAAAGGCAAGTTCAACGCTATACATTCAGCTCTTGATAAAATACGAAAATATAAATTTACGATTTAAAGGGATTTCAATTAACGAGAATTATGTGGTATTTTATTTTCATTTACGCTCGTTTCGATTTTCTTACTTTCTTTTTTTCTTTTTGTATAGATTTGTATAGATTAGGTTAGTAGTTTTGGCGAAAGAAAGATTTTATTTAAATTCATGTACGATGCGAGAGAGAGTGAATTATAAAACGAAAAAATTCGTTATAGAATATAAGCGAATTAATAAACGTTTTAAATTCTATTCTAAATTTGCTTGAAAAAAAGATTTATTGATTCGATTATTTTATTAATACGATTATTCCTTGACTATGTCGATGATTTAAATATTTCTCGTACGAGTTATTTTAAATATAGCGAAGATGTTAAGTTGAAAAATCGGGAGGAATTGTATTTCATGTAATCGAATCGAGCTGCATACGCTTGAACAATTGAAAATCTTAAATCTTGGCGGTGATCGCGAAGTGGAGAAGTCGAGTATTCCTGAATTTTCTGCTCGGTTATGTCAGCTTTAAACGCGCTCGATATTGCACCATAATAGCTGCAGCGTAAAAACTAGACTTGGTACTCGATGAGGAGAAGTGAAAAAGCGATCCCAAAATTCGGGAAATCAAGATGGAACTCGAACGTTTCGCGAATTTGCTTAATAAAAAGGCTTTCGTCGGGGTAATTGCTATTTTGGTGTAAAAATAAACTTTGTTTACCCAAAACAACGAATTTGTAAATAATTACAATATAAATTAGAGAACTTAATTTAGAACTTGGAACGAATTCGTTTGATTCAAGTTAAAGCATAAAGATCATGATTGAACCTCTTTCGAATAGTTCTAATCTAACTAATTAGATTATTTTTCAAGTAGTCGGGATAAGTAATTTCGGTTAATTAAGATCGAATATCGATGAATATTTTAATATATTCCAATCTTTTAAAGTATTATTTAAATTAGTTTTAATATTAAAAAAATATATATCCAATATTTCATACGGATTCCAATTTTATATATTTCGAACCTGGAAATATGTCTAAAATATTAAATTTTGTAGAAAAGATAGGACAGAGAATCCTTATATTTTCCTTAAAACCCGAAGCGTAGCTGTACAATATTATATTTAAAAAAATATCAAAGATCTTCTTTGAACAAAATCCCCTCGTTCTCCCATTTACCACGAGTATACAATCTTGAGATAAGAATCGATATCGATATTCATCGCGCGAATAAAATTCCAAATTTTGATACAACATGTTAAACATTTTCGACATCTGTGCATGAAATACAGTCGTGGAATGTCAAGTTTTATAAAAATCCCGCCCTCTACACGTAGACTCCCTACGCGTAGTTAAAACCCCGGGGATATAAATTTTCAACGTAAAAGTATCTAAAAAATTCCTTCCCTTTAGAAAATTCCCTTGCACCACATTTACACCACCGCGGATCTAGATCGATAGCTTGAGATCGACGGTATTTGTCGCATCGAAAAAAAGGAAAAAAAAAAGAAGAAAAAAAAAAGAAAAACCTGACAAATCTGTGCAATTTGAAAAGGAAAGGAACGTATCCTTCCAATTAGCGAGGGGGTGAGAACTTTGTTTCAATAAGAACACGAGCACCGCCCTCGAGACTAATAAACCTGAAAAGTTACAGAACATTCTCCATCCCCGTGGAGTTTCCTTGCCAACGTACGCCCCCTGCTTTCATAAAAATCTGCGGCGAAAAAACAGGACATGCCGCACAATATCGGGCGGGCACAAAGCGAAGTGCAAACGAGATAAACTTCTTCCTCCTCGGTTGAAAAATGGAGTGGAGCTCGGGTGGAAAAAAATTTCTCACTCCGCGCATCATCTCTCGAGATCGATCTTAATTCGCCAAATAAGAACGAGACGATGGGAGACGCATCTTTATCCTCGTCTTGCACAAGGATATTCACGGTTTTGTTTTCTAAAATGTGAGGAGGAATCGTTCGCGGGAGGAATTTCTCGAACTTCTCGATCCATATCGATGGAGAGAAACGTCTTTTTCGTCTAATCATCTCGCCCACGCATCGAAACATATCGTCTGACCTTTGCCGCCGCCTTCGAGGAAATTGCTGGAGGAAGGTGAGGAATGCGCAGCAGTTCCCTTTCGTTTCCTTTTCACTCGTCGCGTCGGGGCTCATTTCAATGGAAATTATTTTCTTATTATAATGACGCTTTGCTGCTACTTTTGAATTTGGAATATCGAAGTGATCGATTGATTTTATCGATGCAATATATTCGATGCGATGTAAATTTGATCGAGAAAAAATGAAGATATTTTGAAACCGTCAGGAAATTCTCTAAAAATGACGTTCGTTCGTATTGAATGTATTAATTACATGATCTTTCGATCTTTTATTTATCTGTGCAATTATCGTTGGAATGGAAAAATTATATGAAAAAATTTGTACACATTCTAATAATAATAATAATAATAAATAACAAAAGTTTAATTCTATATCTGTATTTTATCATATTAAATTATCTTTAATAATATCGTGTAACGATTCTCGTTTAATCTAAACGGCATCAATTGAATTATATGACCAGAAATAATTTATCTCCCGTTGGCTTCCCCCATTAATCCCTTCTTGCAAATTAGGGCATTTAATAGCAATTGGATGGCAATCGCTTGGATGGAAACACTTGTGTGTATGCAGTAAGTGTTTCGAGATTTTATCAGGAACGAATCGGGCATAGAGTGGCATAGTTTGAACGTGTATATAAAATCTTGACTTGCGAACAATAGCTCATTCTTGTGCAACGCTACTATCTCGAACGTGTAATTGCTATTGCTTGGCATAAATACAGCTCTCTGGAGGATATACTACATAGGTATAGGATAGGTTTCTACTATCTATCGCGTACATAACATTTCGAGTAATTATATGTATAGGAGGGAAATATTAATAATCCGTGCATTCATCCGTGCAGACATCTGAAATATGTTAATAACGAGAATATATAACCACCCGAAGATAGATTCGAATAAATATATATAAACATCACGTTTAATTTTAACGACGACGAGTTTGTCGAACCATTTTTTAAAGCTGTTGATGCGTGTGTAAATTTGAAAGAAAGAGTGAAGCGATCAAGGGACGAATAGGCATAATACACAGGAAGAAACAAGGAAATTTTCTTTCTCAACTTTCTTCCCTGATTATCATCATTTCTCCAATTACAATTCTATCCTTGCTTAATTCCAGTTTCGCTTTATTATTAAAGCGAAAACTCGTCAAGCGATTGCAATAAACGGCCGCAACTTTAGAAAGTAAAATCCCTGACGCGCATACTAAACGATTATTAAATTTAAATAGCACTAAATAGAACGAAAAACGAAATCGCAGGAATTTTAAATTTTTCCATGAGATAACGAAATGACAAATGGTCCCTGTGCGCGGCATGAAAAAAACTTCTCTATGAAAATCACGTCCCTGACCGTCTAGGCGGGCGTACGTGAAATTGCATTCCTCTTCCCCCTTTCACCCTCTCCTCCCCCCTTTTTTTCCACCCCCTGCTCGGTGAAATTATCAGGAGATCGCGGGGGACAATCCCCGTTAGACGGGGATTCAAGGTCGTCTTTAGCGTTTCCGCCCGAGCGCACGGCAAAAGTGTGAGCAAACAACTGAGAATTTCGATGGAAATGTCCGGCCACGATTCCATCGACTACCTTTTTATTGCTCCGTGACCGCTACAAAGGACGATCAATTCCATCGGCCAGAAAAGCGCCGCAGAACGATCACCTTTTTTTTTTTTTTTGCGTTGAAATCGGACGAAATTTCTAAATTAAATTTTCCCTTTCTCTCGTTACGAATGATCTTAAATTGTTGCATTGTAGATTGATTCGATGGAATGAAAAACTTTTAAAAATTTAACAATTAAAAAATTACGAAATGGTAAATTAACTTTTCAAAATATTCAAATGGAGTTTAGGAAGGAAGAGCAAGAAACGATCGACAAGGGAGGATATATTTATCGTCGATCGAGTGTCAAGTGAAAAATTGTTTAAAATTAAAGAGAATGAAAAGAAGGAGGGAGGGAGGGAGGGAGGGAAAGTAAATGGAGAATTCGTGTGTTTCAAAGAGATACCGGTTGACGTTTAATCCAGAAAGAACGACGAAACAGAAAATTAACATTACTCCTCGGAGAATCGTTAAATTCACCACTGTACTCTGTTGACGACAGTTTGAAGCTATCTCTGCTAAGGCTCTCGTCGTTTTAAGGATTAACGAGTGGCTGTGCTTTCTACGAGTTCCTTCTGCCATTTCGCCGGATATATACCAATCCTTTGTACGACAGACATATGTATATGTAGAGAACCAGAGGGAGAGAGAGGATAGTTTTTGTGGAAAATGAGGTTGGACAACGCGTGGACGTGGAAACGTTCAAACGTCGTTTCGAACGTTATCTATTGAATCAAAGCTAATGACGGAGAGGTACGTGGATAATTTAATTGATATGGAAACATATTATTGGAATAAAATTGTGGGTTGTGTAGATATGATATGCATCCAGTGTGCGAGGGACAATAACGCTTTGTTTCGTTGTATATGTCGATTTAAATGGGACATTTAAATAGGTTAGGAACATCGAATAGGTGTATTAATTAGCTAATATCTATGATGATTATTATTACGTTGATGAGGGTATTGCGTAATTGTCAAAATGAATAAATAATAATTAGAGTCCGACCTGGTTCCTACAATTTCACCATTTTAAAAAGATTACGCACGAGTCGAGTATATTCTCCTTTCACTTTTCGCTTCCCCCTTCGTTCGTTCGTAGGTTCCATCTATCCATGCTTATCGATCGACTTTTTCTCTCTGTGATTTTTAGGCCAATCGAAAAACGCGGTCGTTCTTAAAATACGAGAAAGGAGCGGAAAAGAAGAGGAGAAAAAGACGAAGGCTGTCCCAGTGATCCTGTTGGATAGAGGTCAATGGAGCCATCTTGATGCAGGCTGCAAAACTACGTGGGGATTACCCGTCGTGGTCGTCGGGCTGATTTCAACGGTGAACAGTGGCGATTCCACCCGTGGGTGGAAGCGCCGTTTTCATCACCGTCAACGGCGAACAGTACAGCCACTTCCGCTTCCTCCACCCCACGTGGCCGAACCATTACCTGATAAGGTTCGTCCAATTTAATACTTATTTCAGAACATTATTTTTCAACTGTATCAATCATACTTTGCCTTCGACGCTTCTCATTTGTAGAATTTATAGATACATCAGTTTGATCGAATATATGAAATTGATGTAAAATTTTTAAAAAAAGCCATCATCCATATACGCGATATGGATATAGTGGTGTGTGAAAAAATTTTTGGAATTCCTTTTTAATTTTTTCGCCTAACATTAAACATTATTCTAGTCTCGGATCAAATATTTAATCGATTAACAATTAATGAAATGTGGTATACATATATTATGCGATGATCTGACAAAGTTTTTGAAATTTCTCCTCGAAGAAATTCTGCCTAATGAAAAATATAATGGAAAGTTTTGAATGTACGAGAATATAAAACATGATATAATCCTTGAACACGAAGATCCTTAGGAATGAGAGAATTTTCCTACAGGCACAATTTTCCTCTCGTAATAACAGTCGAGTAATTTATTAGCAAAGTTGGATGCCGTTTTTCATCTAAATAGATCGTTACGAGTAATAAGCAAGAGATTTTTTTAACAAAAATTTTTAACTGGCGATACTGGTGGAACTTTATACAAATTACAAATAATTTATCCGTAATATCATGTTCATTTTAGGTATTTAAATGCGATTCTAAAGATAAATAAATAAAAAAATCAAATTTCAGTTTTTCTTAATTATAACAAAAGAAAAGGGAAAATTGTAACGTTTTGCTTCATTGTATTGATTTAAAATTAACTTCATTTTCTCCCAATTGGAAAAGCCATTAATCTTTTCTTGCTGAACTGTTAATCCATTGCCTGGCAAAGCGATAATAGATAGAACAGAAACACAATTTTAATCCTACTGAATTATTTTCTCTTCCATTTTTAGTTTTACGTTTTATATTATTTAACGATAAAAAGAAACGTGTGTTTCGTAATATGAGGTAGGGGAATTAATATTACATACTTTAAAAGCGTTATAATATTTCCTAGAGATATTTTAAAGGTACGAAAATTGTGATGTTAAGATATTAATCAAATATTAGACTCGCATACAACGAGCATGATTAATTGAGCTCGAAAATTAATACGTTTGTGTTATACTGGAATACTTACTTAAAAAAAAGAAATTGGAAAAATAAAATGATGTCATTGTTTAACCATAGTTTATTATTTCTCAGAGAATTATGAAGAAATTTCTTGAATAAGAAAATTTCGAACGAAGTTATATTATTATTTCATAAAATAAATTAAAAAAAAAAACACTCGATTTCTACAAACACAAAAAAACTAATGATCCGTCATTCAGAAATACCGATTAAATGCTAAGTAATATTAAACTGTCGCCATCATTAATCATTATAAATTTTTCTTCAGAAACGGAACACGCTTTAACTGTAAAGATAATACATTTATATTTATCGTATGTGCCTCCCTCTTTTACACCATATAAAACGCTTTATTATGGATTCAATTATGAAAATGCTTTTACCGCCACGAATGGTAATCCAATTTTCAATGATAACGCAATTTCGATATTCCATAAGAATATTCATTTCGAGGCCAACTTTTAAAAAATTTAATTTCTAACTCGTTTATATGAACTTCAAATTATTTATACATCATCCGTTCCATCGAATAATCCAATCCGATCGAATTTAAATTTTTCCTCGAAAAATCTGCGTGAATCTGCACGTGATCTTCTCGACGCGAGCATCGGTATAATCGATGGGTAACGTCACAGCTTTCATTTATCGTCCTCACGAGTATCGATTTACGTGTCAATTAGGTATATGAAAGCGATGTTACCTTTAGAAAGATGGATACTTGAACAGCCAATATTTGCATTAGCACTTTGATTACCTCTTCCTTCCTGTTACCTTATCATTATCTGATTGTATCGATCTGTCAGTCCTGTTGATGTATGTTAAAGTACTAATTAACTAGCTGCTCTGTTTACGATGCTTGTCCTTCCATCGAAGATTCCCCGTTTATTCAGAAACGCGCGAACCAAGAGGGTTTCCCATCGCTGGGAATACAATTTGAACGAATCGAAACGAAATCGACCATTCTTTTCCGCGATAGGATTATTCTAAATTAGATTTCATCAAAGAAATTCGAAAGTGTTCAAGAGAGTTCGCATTTATTTTTACTGTCACTTTTCTTCAAACGAAAATCGACAATTAATCGAGATTAAATTGTCGAATCGATAATTAATTTTTCTCAATTTCTTTTCTTATTATGATTACTTTTTTCTCCCTTCTTTACTTACAAAATGCATATCGCTAAAAAAAGAATTATTTTTAATAAATTCCTCTTATTAATCCTTGCATTTCTTTTATTCCTAAAAAAAATGCAATACATGTATATATATTCGCCACAACATTTCTCTACGTACAGATGATACGAAATAAATTTTTCCCCGCGAGGAGACGTCTCCTCGGAGCGTAATAATTTAACCTAGAGCAAGTTTGCACCGTCACCTGATATAATTTCATTCATTCGATACGGTTCGGTCCTCGGGGACGCGGGAACAAATGAAATTTCATTTCAAACCAGCCGGATTCCGTTTGAAAACGTTTGTTTCCCCGCGTTTTATCTTTTTCATCTGTTTCATCATCTCTTTGTTCCATGTTCTCGGCCCACGAAAATTCTCTCCCCGAGAATTCCATCTCGATGATGCATTACACGCATTGTCGATCGTTAATCACGCGTCTGCACGCGTGTTATTATTCGCTCGTCGTTTCACGCGTGTTTCGATAACAGGCTCGCGTGTACTTGCAGCGCGCGGCTCGTGAAGGGAGGCACAAAGGGAAATTGATTTTGGAAACGCGACTTTGGAAATGCGGAGATGTAACTTTGGTTATTCGGAGATGATGATGGAATTTTCCACCCCGTTCGTTTTGTTAATTATTGTCTCGCATAATCAGACATCTAGTTCTCGGTGATAATTCGTAAAGATTGAATTCTATAAATAAATTCGAAAAGTGGAGAAATCCTGTGCAAAATTCTATACTCGAGATTTTATCTAAAAAATTAAAAATTGACTCTGATAGTTTCTTCGAATTTATTTTTCGAGTGCAACGATTATTCGGAAATGATAAATTTTCCACCACGTTCGAGCGCCTTTGTTTTGTTAATTATTGTCTCGCATAATCAGACATCTAGTTCTCGGTGATAATTCGTAAAGATTGAATTCTATAAAGGTTCGAAAAGTGGAGAAATCCTGTGCAAAATTCTATGCTCGAGATTTTATCTAAAAAATTACAAATTGACTTTGATAGTTTCTTCGAGTTTATTTTTCGAGTGCAACGATTATTCGGAGATAGTAAATTTTCCATCACGTTCGAGCGTCTTCGTTTTGTTAATTATTGTCTCGAATAATAGATTTTAGTTGTCAGTGATAATTCATAAAGGTTGAATTCTATAAAGGTTCCATTACTCCGCGTTCGAAAAGTGGAAGGATCCTGTGCAAAATTCTATGCTCGAAATTGATCTAAAAAATTACAAATTGACTCTGATAATTTCTTCGAATTTATTTTTCGATAAATATAACAGTGCAACGATTATTCGGAGATAATAAATTTTCTCGACGTACGGATGATATTCGTAAGAATTGAATTCTGTAAATTCTGTTCCATTACTTCGAAAAGTGGTGGAAGAATGAAAATTGGAGGGATCCTGTTCAAAATTCTATGCTCGAAATTCTATCTAAAAAATTATTACTTAATATTATAAACTCTGATAGTTTCTTTTTATTGCCAATACGGTAGCAATCACGGTAAGGAGATGACGCATCACTTATGTATCGTTTATGTATGTATATAGTATATTATACATCCGCTTAACGTCTCTGGTTTAGCACGTGATTTTGATGCAAATTAGTTCAAGTCAGATTAAGACAGGCGTTATGGCATCACGAATTTTGGGATTATCGTATCGGAGATCTGTACCCCCTGTTTCCTCAAATGATAATTATTATCCATGTATTATTGGATTTATTGTATTATTGGACAATTGAAAAATGTTGATCGTGAAAAATTAATCGTACGTATTTTAATAATATCGAATTATTAAAAGTGTCATCGATATATATTTTTTTTTTCAAGAGATAAAACGAGAACGAAATAAATATCGTGTGAATGTAGACGCGTGATTTTATGAATTGGTTTTAATACGCAAGGCGATCCGTTAATATCCCGGATACGTCGAATTACTCAAGTTCCTTGTTGTCGCCGCAAATGGATGCCACTCGTACATTTTCCGGCTCCTCGTGTGCATTATAGCCTGTACACGGTCGGCACCACGAGTCGCGCCAATCTTAATTATTTTTGACAGAACTGGGTCAGATTTTAAATTGTCGGCATGCTTCGAATAACGCTTTTGCGCGTGCATTCACTTTCCGTTCCCCTTCGACTCGAACACCATTCGAACGAACAACATTTCTACCCCCGTTTGTTCTCGCCAATGTAATTCTCGCAAATCAGTTGAAATGCAAGGGAGAAAATTCGTTTCGTGAAATGAAACGCAATATCAAACGGTATTCGTAACGAGTTAATATCGGCAATATCTACGATCATAGACATAATTAATCGTTTACAACAACCTTTTCTATTCGAAAAATAAATTTTATAGAAAAAGGGGAAACTCGATCGCGTTTAATTTTAATCGAATCTCGAATAGCAAAAAAATTCCTATCCCCTTTAAAACCAAAAAGAGAAAAACAAGAAGAAGAAGAAGAAGAAGAAGAAGAGGGAATAAAAAAGTTCTCTCAACAAAAATATTAATTTCCCCCTTTCCTCCATTGCCTTCCCGCCATTAATCCAATCCCAGGAGGAGGAGAAAATCTACATAAGAGGGGGGGGGATTAATTTCTTAAGAAGGTCGAAGCGAATGAATCCGTTTGCGCGTGCAATGTTTCACGCAGTGGGATATTAAACTCGGGGTGTACAATGTGTTTAATTAGAGCTGGAGAAGCGGCCGCAGCCGCAGCCGCCTCGGAGCTCTGAGGAGCTGGAGGATCTGCACAAGCTGCTGCACTTCCCCGAGGAGGTGGCGCTCAGGTTGACGGAGACCGAATACCAGCTGTTCTACCAGGTACCGCCCGAGGAGTACCTAAGGCACGTGGCACAAGATACGCAGAAACTACCTGCCAGGCCACCCCCGTCGCCGAGTCGCAGCTATTGCAATCCGAGCACCGCCAACAGCTCGACCCAGACCGAGGAAGAGTCTAACTGGCCTGTCCCCAACTTCTCCTCTTCCGTTCAGACGCTCATCAACCGTTTCAATGAGGTAATTTAATCACAATCGTGGACGATTATTGATGATCGTTCGCGATCCTTGAAACAACGCACGAATAAATTTATCTTTCTATGCGTTCTTGCGATTATTCGCACGGTTCGTGGAGGATCGTATCTCCGATATCGACCCGTTTTTCCATTCAATTTTTCAATATTATTGTTCATGTTTGTATATGGCTTTGGAAATCGCTTTGGAAGAAAAAGTAAAATCGATGGATCCAGAGCGGTGTAAAGGTTTTTCACGCGTTCGAACGAATTTCGAATTTTAATTGAGTCGTGTCGAATTTCTATACGAATTGCTATTTAAATGATTATCTGTTGAATCTCCAAGGAAATTTAGCGTAGAATGGAGTGAAAAAAATGGGGTTACATGTTCTCATTTGTACTTGATATTTCGTAATTTCAGGTGAGCTCATGGGTCACCCACGCGATCACAAGCGGCACGACGATAGAAGAAAGGCAGGCTGTATTGTCCTGTCTCCTACGCGTAGCTCAAACCTGTTGGAATACCGGAAATTTTAACTCAGCCATGGAAATCGTTGCTGGCCTCAAGTAAGTCCCTTCCATTCTTATTCTAAATTTAATTTAAATGTCTAATAGAATCTGATTAATAAAAAAAAAAACGCGTAAAATCGAAGAGGCAATTTTGTATCGATAAGATGCAAAAAGATTTTAAAGATTCGAAAGAGAATAACATCGACTTCCAAATTAATCCTGGTATACACGTAATCTCGTGAAGCTGCAGGAACAAAGCGTGTGCTTGCTTCGATGATCCTTCGACTCGATTAATCTAGGTCCATTGAAATAATACCGTCCTGAAAGTTCCCTTTAATCCACGGTCTTACCAACTTAAACAAGACGCTATTCCAACTTGTATCCTAAGTGTTAATCACTATATTCCTGCAGAAAATTATTTTCATTCGAATTGGAAAATTTCGATTATTCTTTCTCTTCGATATATATACCTTTTTTTTTAAATTTATTAGTCTGTTTAATTGTTTCTTTCTTTCGAATAAATCACAAAAAATCAAGAATCGCGAAGCGTCCCCCTTTTAAACCTCCTTTTAAACAGTTCTTTTCTCTCTGTGTCCAAACTTTCTCCTTTTAGACGGATTTCTTTAGAATCGTGAATCGTTTTTTTCTTCTTTTGTCCTATCTTCAAAGATTCTCCCTTCGCTCTCGCGCAATGTCGGAAATACTTATACACATGGCGCCCAGACTCGTGCGAGTGTGAAGGGATTTTCCCCTCTCAATTTTCCTTTCTCCGTACTTTCCTCAGTTCTATCTTTATCCGTTCGTGTCATGGTTTCAAATCCTATCTAAAATGAACAATTTTCCAGCCGACAAGCTTTTCTGTACCAGCCTATTATCCACCTAGTTTTCAAAATCCTTGTGCATATATTTTCCATCATGCATAATTTGTTTATATGTTATGATGAAAGATTAGATAGATAAGGAAAAATTGATTTGCTAAGTATCGTTAACCTAGATAAGATTTATTTATTTATTTATTTATTTAATTGTGATAAGCAGATATGGAAGGATAATTTGCTGTAAAAAGAAGCAATGATTGCCTCTAAAATTTTCGGTGTACTACATATATACGTATATACGTATTTTTTCGAAGAGAAAACAAAGAAAAACTTTATCATGCAAATGTATGTAAAATAACTTAAAAGTTTCAGTTATTTCGCAAAGAACAAAGATAATATTATTTCCCGCGAAACTACAGCATCGTATAAATCTCACTTTATTTTTAATTACATGTGTGTAACAATATTGAACAATATATTCTTTTTCTTTTTTTCGCTGAGAATCTCTTTATTCGTAATATTCTCCATGCCCACGCCGTGTATCGCAATTTCAAAAATTTTAACGCATCTCTCTTTCATCTCTCTTGACGATTGTTCGAAGAAAAATTTTCAAAACGAAAACGTGCGTGTTCGATTAAATATATATTACGCGTGTATGTGTGGTACACGATAATAAAAATGTGTGTTTGACATAAAATTGATATAACACGAGTAACAAGAAACAAGATTGAACGAAAAGGATAGAATTAACGAAGGAATAATTCAAAGTGTGTTTTATTCCGATTGGATTGTTGAAAAATAACGAAACAAATTGACCAAAGCAGCACAGTATATACCCTGACTTTGATATATTTCGTTTCGTTGGAAAGAAAACGAGCAAACAAAATTTAATTTCAAAGATTAAAACGAAGAAGAAAAAAAAAAAAAAACAAGATATCAATTTCACTATTCATTCAAAATTATCATTGGATAAATTTACTTTTATGTATAAACCCGATGAATATTCGATGAATAAATGAAACCGTTTCGAAATATATTTTGTAAATACACATAGTTCGTTTCAACTAACGATTACCATTTAAATTTCACGAACGATATATCTGTTTGTTAAATATTGCGAATAATATATCATACACGTCTATTCAAATATTTAATCAATTATTGTTTATATATTCCTATAATTTATGAACAGGATAGAAAAAAATCATTTTTCGAAAGTTTCCTCGTAGATGCCTCGTACATGTGCGAAAATTGGTACAAAAATTTTCGAAGAAACAATTATATTAATACTCGTAATAACTTCGACTTCATTTAAGATAAATTAAATTCAATTATTATCCACGAGTTCAACAGTTTCTTCCTCCATTAAAATTCGCAGAGAGAGTATCTTTTTCCTTTTTTTTTTTTTTTCTATAAATTCACCGAAGGAAAAGCTGTGCCGCAAATTGCACCCTTGTGGTCGTTTCGGAAAAACGAAATGGAAAAATAAAATAGTTTTTATTACCGGGATCATAAAAAACCGCCAACCTCCGCGACCGCGAGCGAAAAGATAAAAGTTGCAACAGTCGTCCCACACACACGGTCATTGTCCTGCTCGTTCCCTCCATTTACAATTTACCTCCCCCGCTATATAACTCGCGCTCTAGTTTCAGTTTCGAGAACTATGCGATTAACCGAATACATAGTTGAAATTTTACGTGCACCCGCGCCATCTTGACCTATTACTTCCTACCGAACTTTGGCGAAATTTGTTGTGAAATGGATGACGATGGTCTTTCCCAAGACGATGAGATTATATTAAGAATCTCGAATAATTATTGAAAATTACGGCAATTGTGAAATGAAATGGTGTAACATTTTGATGTGAAAATTTTGCATCTACGTCGTGATGGAATTAATTAATATAAAAATAATGTAAGAAAATAAGAATAAAATCTATCAATATTTAATGAAGAAATTAAGTTTGAGAAAAAAATCAAGATGCGTGCTGCACTTTCAAGGGGATGAAGATTGCTCTCTCTCATCTTCTCAAAGACGAAAGTATGAAATAAAATTTGTCGAGGCTTAAAGCCTTTTCGAGAAAATCCAGTTTAAAGTGTAGGTTAGGCGTTAGGCGTTCTTTGGGCGATACCGACAGATGTGCTAAACGCATTCCATCAGAAGTTAACCAAGTGCACACGTGCTCGACAAGATTTCAAACCTGATTTTCCTCCAACGAGATCTCGAACTTTTTCCTCTTTAATTTGTCCATGAAATAACTTTTTATACAGAAATGCGTTATCCAACATTGGACAAGGATAACATTTCTTTGTCTGTTTCTAGGAAATATAGTTTATCATTAATAAAAAAAAATGAAGTAACGAAAAGAATATTTGGAAATACGGTATTTGAAATTTTGTTGTAGAATTAAACGAACTCAAAACGATGTCAAAGCTCTTTATTTTAATTTATTCTGCCCGTGCTTCGTTTGACCATTTCATACTTTATTTAAAACACGAAGTTGCAAATAGAGGGTATCATACTACCTCCAGGCATTAAATTAACACGACAGTATCCCGTTTCACCACACTTGAACACTCCTCTTTGCCTCTTTGCTAAGAATTAATTCATTAATCACCTTAAATATCCCATGTGATACGATAAAAAACAATTTCCTAGAGATTTGTACAGAAACAATAATCATATCAACTGCATCGATATGCATATGAAATGTCGTTTCTTAAAAATTGGATTAACGTCAAGAATATAATATTAAATTTTCAATAACGTATTTTTTCTTTTTCGAAAAAAAAAAAGAAAAATTAAATTACCAAATTAACGACGATCAATCGCTTGGTTTCTTTCTCTCTTTTTTACCAAATTTCAATCGATCGTCATTCGATTTCAATAAAGAAGAAGAAAAGCACACAAATCAACGACAATACAATTTTTCATTCGAATCATTTCCAAATCGAATTCACCAACCAAACACGACCAATGCTTTTGACGCAGGTCCAACAAGCTGAAGCCCTTTTGGAACAGCGTGAACGAGCCGGTACCAGTTTTGGAAAGCCTCTCCTCAGCCCTTTTGTCGTCCGAGTATGAATTCGCGCTTGCCCGCTCGTTGGCTATGCCGGAATGCCCGGTGGTCCCATTCTTCGGTGCTTTCTTGCGGGAATTGCGGGAAGTCATCGCATTCGAGTCCAAGGTAAATCGTTTTTTAAACTTGATAAACTTCCCCTGTGTACAATTACCGCACCTTGAGAAACGAACCTTGAAACCTTTTCCCCGTCGCCGGGAAACGCGATTGGAATTATAACGATAAATTATTCTCGAGGTCTTGTGAAGTTTTTCATCGCGTGGCTGGTTTCATACGAATTGAACTTTAATATATAATTGTCTCGAAATGTTTGTCTTCGAACAGTGAATACATTCTGTACACGAATTGTGAGCGCGAAATTTGCTTACCTTTTCTTTAGATACAGATCTCTTAGAAAGATGGCATTTCGAGATATTTTATTTTCTGTGTTTTTAAGAAAGGTTGGAGAAGTGTATCGAAGAAATATATATATATATATATTTTTTTTTCTTCGATTTTATTTGATAAACGAAAAATATAGTTTTAAGTTTATTCGATGGAAATATTTCAATATTTAGTATTTAGCAATAGATATTTCTATCTTCGAGCCTATAATTCGACTGTTTCCGTTTCTATTTTCAGAACTTGCGTAGCGATAAAATCTTGTGGTTACACAATCACGCTTTATACTCGGATTCGAGCAGATAATTAGACGTTTCTCGAAGATAAATCGCTTACTTTTTATTTATAGAAACGGTCTACAATTTTCGAAAAAAATTCGACGAAAAAAATTACTGGTGAACTGGTATTAAGCTAAAAATAATAATAATAATAATAGTGTTATGTAATTCTAGGTCTAAAAAAATATTGAAAATTTCGAAGCATCGATTTTTCGAACAATTACTTCCAAGCCAATTAAGCGATCGAGGTCGTCGACAACTTCCTCCCTCCCTCCCTTTATAATACTTTTTAACGCCGAAAATAGATATCACCCACAAAATATAAATGGTAAAATAAACAGGAAAATGAACAAATTTTTCGAATATTGTCTTGTGTATGAACGTAGTTTTTCCAATATTCAATATCTGACCCGTTTAAAAAAAAAAAAAAAAACGAAAACGCGAAAACGTGTTCGTCCGATAATTGTCGGTTTCCGCGTTTTTATCGAATTTATTGTTTTAAGAAAAGAGTGATTCGCGCAGTAAATTTTTTTTTTTATAAAAATAAAACGAAAAACGCGAGAAAAACGGGAGAAGATGATAAAGAAGGTGAATCATTGGGGATTATTAAAATTGCTTTCCATCGAATAACGTCAACTTTACATTATCTATCAAGTGTTTCTTTTCTATGAGTTTCTACCACGAAAAAAAAGAACAAGAAGAGAGAAAAAAAAAAGCTTCAAATCCCAATACATTTCCCCAAACAGATCAGTATCAGTCCAATATCAATTCAGCACCAATTCAATACCAGCTCGGTATTGGACCTAGCTCAATTCTGTTCCAATTCAAACTCGGTTCCATCCCAGTTCCGATTCCGTTCTAGATCAAACTGTGTTTCAACCTAAGTCAATTCTAAGCCCCATATCACGCGATATCTGTATTCAACCCAACTGTCTGAACCACTTATCTTCCCAACTATCTCCCTTCCCCTCCCCCAAAACTAATTCCAAGTATCTTCCTCACAATTATCATATCTCCAAAAAAAAAAAACAAAAAACAAAAAAAATTATCATTTTCAATATCGTTGTATCGAAAGCGATATAAACCTATACATATCTTCCTCACAGTATATCCTCTTAAATGTGATAAAAATTATCGATGATCAACAATTTCGTAAGAAGGAAACGAAGAGCATGGATGATACGATCGAGTTGTTGGATCGTTTTCCATGTATCGCTCGTTCAAGTGCATCGCGGAGAGAAAAATAGGTAGGAGACGATCCATGGAGATCGAATGATTTCACAGCGAGGTTACACGTGCGATTTGGCAGCTGGCCAACGAACTTCCTCGATAAAATCCGTACGTATCCTGGCCGGAAGCGTCGAACCGTGGAATACGGACGGTACACGAACACGGGGGCAAAGATTGCTCGGGGGGAGGAAGAAAAAAAAAAGAAAGAAAGAAAGAAAGAGGGACGGAGAGAAATACTCAAATTAACCGACCCTTTCCTCTCGTTTCGCCACTTTGGGCCGAAAGAAACACCGATACGGGCCAATGTAACGGAGAATCGGCGCCCCCTTTTTTGCCATATTTCTCGAGTTCTGGTCGACGATTCGTGCTGGAAACCGAGAGTGCCTGTTGAAATGTTGCAGAATTGTTGTCAAGAATTATTCAGCTCCCGATTTAATGTGTAAAAAGATGCCTCTTTAACGATGTTTTAATATTTTCTTATACTTTTTATTTTTAAATCCGTTTAAAAATTGCGAGCATTGAACCTTTTCATTCGTGAATAAGATATAAGGGGGGAAAGGTATATTGGTGCGTTTAATTTTGAAAGAAAGTGAAAGTGTCGTTGAGAACGTTTGGGATAATTCGTAGGATGCACGATTATTAATGATGATATTTACGATAAATAGATAAAATATAAGGGAAAATTGGCACTTATTCAGTTCGATCAGAAATTATTAAATTGGAATATTTCGTACAGACACGTGTTTGAGAATGTTAAATTATCGTGTCGATAAGATGATTCGTAGAGAATTCGCGCGAAATAATCAAGACGTTACGTACGAAAATATTTTTTCAAACCGTGCGAACCGAACTTTATCGTTAAACGGAACACGTTCTCGTACAATCACGTTATTCGGAATCAGCGCAGTGAGAATTTACCACGATTCTGCCGTAAAGTCTTCGATGTATGAATAATTCTTGTAGCAAAGCTACTCATCCGTAACGATGAATTTAACAGACGAATAGACAATAATAATAATAATAATAATAATAATAATAATTAAACGACAAATAACTCGACGAACAATAAATTTAATAAACATAATTAGAATTTTTGAAAATGTCTCGTAAATCAATCTTTGAAGTAATATTTCGCACGAGGGAAACGTTGAAAGGAAGGATTTGTTGCACAAGTGATCAAGCAATGTCAAATACATATTACTTTGACATCGCTTTTGTATCGCTGTATGATTTTTTTTTCGTGAATTGGTTGAAAAAAAAAAAGGCGACACAATGCTGGTCTTTATGCTGTACGATTTTCATTCGTTTGGCACAAGTATTTGGAAAGACTCGATGCTGGACAAAGAACAGAGTGACTCTACTGAACGAAAGGATCGAAGAATTCATTATAAATTATAATTCTATTTTTTTTTTTTCATTACTCTCCTAATGATTCATCAGTTTTATTAATATTTTAGAATTAAATAAAAATATTTCACCCTATTAACGCGTGCATATACGTTATAAATACATATTTCAAAAATGTAAACATACATTTTCTACTTGTTATTCATTGATTTATAAACCATTCGTTAATTAACGTATAATGATATAATCAATTATTTATTCAATTTATTCAACGTGTCAATTTACGTTTTCTCCAGAATTTTAATTAATCCCTTAATTATAAAAATATATATATATGTATAAAAGCACGAGATTGTGTTTTCTATTGTGATTCATTTTTACAAAGATGGAGTCGTGAGGGGGAAAGAAGGGAAGAGGAGGAACGTAGCGATAAGGTTAGGGGTTTCTATCGGCCTCCAGCAGCAACGATGGTTGTAGGCCGGCGGAAACTACTTGCTCTTGTCGCTAACGATCGTCGGCCTGAAACATCCACACTTCGTGATTCAGACTTCGTTGAATAATTTAACATACGATATTCACGTAATTAAGAAGGACTTGTTACTTGTTTTTTTTTTTTTTTTTTATTACCTTGCATACACCTTTAATGCTGACCGCATTAATTATTAAAAGAAAAGAAAAAATAATAATTATATAGGTACGTGTAAAACAAACAATCGTTATTATTGTAATTATATATCATTCTTTCTGTATTCATGTGTATTTCGAATGGAATAAAAATTTCTTTTGAAAAATGGTTGAAAAGTTTTTTGCGTGCATTTAAAAATAAAGGTACATTTTTATATAAGATGTAATTTATCTTAAGGATGATTTAGTTTGGACTTATATAAGGAGTACGTATAATTTATCACAGCCTTGGAGGGTAATGTACAACAGATCCACCGGAAGAAATATTTCGACCCGTGACAGATTAATAAGATTAAAATCCTTTGTATTTTAAATATAAAAAATATAATAGTTGAGAGAAAGGAATAAAGGTTTTCTTTTTTTTTTTTTTTTTTTACTATCGTTAATTAATATTTCTTATAAAGAAATGTTACAACGAACGAACGATTACCTTTCTGAATATCGTGTTATCCCACGATATCGATGGGAAATCTTCATCTGTCATAATTCCCCCTCGGTTGAAATTTACGAGAAATATTCCGATTTCAAAGAAACTTTGAATTACCTTGCATACACCTTTAATGCTGACCGCATTAATTATTAAAAGAAAAGAAAAAATAATAATTATATAGGTACGTGTAAAACAAACAATCGTTATTATTGTAATTATATATCATTCTTTCTGTATTCATGTGTATTTCGAATGGAATAAAAATTTCTTTTGAAAAATGGTTGAAAAGTTTTTTGCGTGCATTTAAAAATAAAGGTACATTTTTATATAAGATGTAATTTATCTTAAGGATGATTTAGTTTGGACTTATATAAGGAGTACGTATAATTTATCACAGCCTTGGAGGGTAATGTACAACAGATCCACCGGAAGAAATATTTCGACCCGTGACAGATTAATAAGATTAAAATCCTTTGTATTTTAAATATAAAAAATATAATAGTTGAGAGAAAGGAATAAAGGTTTTCTTTTTTTTTTTTTTTTTTACATCGTTAATTAATATTTCTTATAAAGAAATGTTACAACGAACGAACGATTACCTTTCTGAATATCGTGTTATCCCACGATATCGATGGGAAATCTTCATCTGTCATAATTCCCCCTCGGTTGAAATTTACGAGAAATATTCCGATTTCAAAGAAACTTTGAATGTATTTAGAGCGTAATGAAGTATGAAAGAACGATTTTTTTTCCGATAAAAAATCACTTCGAGCGGAGTAAAATCGACCCCTAAATTTTTCATTCGCGCCCCTTTCTCGTTTTATTCTTTTTAATAATAATAAATTTTATGCACATGTTTAATTTTTTTTATTATTTTAGAAAATTTATCTTTATTTCATTGTAAAATAAATATATCACAATAATCTGATTCATTGTTTCGTTTTGATTTAAAATATACTGGCGTAAACGTGGCATAATCGATCATTATACATCAACAATCATTCCTCGAATTACATGCAAATGTACATCAATTTTATCGATATTTACGATTTGCATAATTCATAAATATGGAATGGAACGACTCGATCTTGCTTGGCAAGAAAAGTTCTCGTTTGAAAAGTACTTTTGTAAATGGAATTTACACGGCCACATTAAGAAACGCACGAAACCATAAAACAGTTAAACGAAAACGTTGATGCAAATTCGTGCAAAAAGGCGCATCTCCCCTGTTTCATTTTAAAACAATAAAACGCGTTTTATTTCGAATACATCCAACGCGGTTGTCTTTGCGAGACAAGCGAGACAATGTTCTAATTCGAGCCATTGACCCGCAATGCTCTTTTTCTTACGTTCAAACCGAAATAAAGCTCGGTCACGGCGTATTCGCCACATTAGGAGGACGTGGAGGATCTCTTTCGTGAGCGAGAGCAATTCTTTGTGGAAAAATGACGAGGAACGTTTTAAAAAAGAAAAAAAAAAAAGATCCTCTTTTAGAGATCGCAACGGTGACCATTTACGATTATTGCCACGACGACTGATTCGTGAGATATCAAAGTTTGAAATAAAATGAAACGAGATTTTGTTTTATTTTTATTTCGATATAAATAATCTAAAAATCGCAGTTTAGAGTTTATTGTCATTATTTATGGGGGGAAATGAGATCAAATTAATTGGGGAGACTTGATTCTATTTTTTTATTTCGAATAAGTAAGATTAAAATTAAAAAAAATTGTGTACAAATTATTACTTCTTTTCGTCGTATAATAATTGTACGGTAATTGCGATTAATTTTAGATCAAATATATAGAATCGGTGTTAAAAATTGATTTTCTCAATATAGTTCACGGTAAATGTCATTTACCTTGACAAAATGTATCTTCTCGTCGTTACGTAAACATCGTAAAATTGATCGTGACAAGAACCAAGTCCAAGAAGCTGGATTCTCAGTTTCAACGAGAACCTTAATTCTTTCGGCAAAGAGCTTTGTCAACTCGAAAGGATCCAAGAGTTGTAAATCTAGAAGGGTCTAGGAGATATTGCAACATCCCCAAGTACGTGCCATAATTCTGCTCACGAATTCGGGCTTTGTTAACGTTTTTATTAGGCAACACACTTGCTTGTTGCGTTATTTCCCTCGATTTTATTCTTTTATTTCTTTTTTTCTTTCAGATTCCCTTCTTCTTCCTAAAAAAAAAAAAGAAAGAAATTTCCTCGTTTCATCGTGCCTCGATAACTCAATAATTTTCATCGTTCAAATATAAGTGCACAAATATAACTTTCGATCGAATTTATCTTAATTCCAAACGCGAAGGAGATGAGTCGATGGATTTCGATCTTATGCTAAGCATTTCAATCGGGAATTTGCATCTATTAAATAGCTATTATCGTGTATCGACGTCAGCAATAGCTCGAGCAATAGTCGTCGTGCAGAATTTATCTTCGAGATCAGAATTGCAAAATGATTAAATTTGGGCAAAACACGTAAACAAAATAATTATTTTTATATTTATATTTATTATTCGTGATATAATTCATCACGTACGAGTTTCAAAATTTATCACACGTGAATGAAATCTTTTTACAAATCTTCACAACTTTAATTTACAGTTTTGAAACAAAATGATTCGCTGGATGCGAATTATTTTTGAAAATTATTATTGTCGATCACATCGTATATTATTGAAACATTTGCATTTTTTTAATTCCATCTCGTAAAATTCATGCATCATTTTAGAAATTTACGTACGAAGTATGATTTTGCAAAAAAATTCGTTCAAGTTGATTAAAGTGTATAATTTATAATTTTATAAAATATATTCATACTATCGAATTATTACTATAAAATGAAATATCCCAAGGTGTTTTCTCTGGAAATATTACAGTTTCTCTTTCAAATTAAATGGAGAAAGTTTTTCTAGAACGATTACTTTTTATTTGAACAACTATTATCAAACTTAATAACATTTATTTGAAATATTCTTTTTGATTTCGCAATAATCATAAAATTATAATGTGAAAATAGTTTTAAAAGAAATTATATAATACATTGTATTTGTATTGAATTTTCGAAATAATTTTTCTTAAAATATTTTTCTCTAAACATTTTTTAAATATTTTTTTGAACATGCGATAATATTAATATATAATCTCATCTATGTCGTTACGATTACTCTTTATTTATAAAAAATATTTATCACTACGTATCGATCGAATCTAAAGATAGAAAGAAATATGTGAATAAAATGAAATAACTTTTGATTAAATAAATTTTCTTTTTTTCTTTTTTCAAGAATTATTTCTTATCCTCTGATTAATTGAAGAAATTCGTGTTTTTATGTTAAACGAGTTTCTTTTTATGTCGAGAATCTTTGGCTAGTAGCCAGATACCCCGACTCCCTAGAATTAAATAGAAAATACGTAATGTCTCCGTATAATTTATACTTTTACTTAAATTTTTGCAAAAAAAAAAAAAAGAATTTCGAAAGAATGAAATTGAAAAGGATTTTTTATCCTTTGTTTGTATAAAGCAAATTAATATTATCGGACAAATATCTCAATTCTCTCTTTCGTAGAAAAGTTGAAAAAAATATCAAATAATTTCTATCAAACTGTAACAACTCTAATAAATACATTGGATTAAAATTTTCAAAGCTTTTAATTAAAGACAAAATAGAAGTTAAATATAACTTTACAACCATTATTTGCAATAGTTATCGTTTAAATTTAAGTTTCCTCTTCGAAATCAATTTTCCGATCACGTTAAAAATAAAAACGAAACTTTCATCGCAAACACTTGGAAATTCTGTTCGAAAATTTCTATCGAATAGAATCCATCTAGCGGCAAATACCTTTGACGAAATTCAACGTGTGTAAACGTTGTATCGGTAGGTGGTGGTGGCCTACTAATAGAACAGTGGACTTTAATGGGTCAAATTGATGAAAGTTTGATCGACGTTTGACAGAGGGTACACGTTTATCTACGCAAAAATATCCTTTCTCACCGCACCGGATATTATTGCTTTACATACACGTGACATTTTTACGAACCGATATAAAACGAATTAAAAGAAATTAAAATCTATAAATACGAAAAATTTATAATACGAATAATAAAATACGTAGAACAATTCTTCAAATCATTTTTGAACGCGCATGATATACGATAGATCGAAGGCGTGCGGGCGATATCAGTCTTGTGATTGTGAAAGATTTATAGCTCGAGTAATCTTTGATTTGTCTGAACATCGAATGGAGATAAGAAAGTTTCGCCTTTTCTATCACTGCATATCAGAAAAATTCCTTTAATTGATACAAATTTTATTTCAATCCGCCTTTCAACAATCGTACAGGAGTTGAAATAATCGATTTTACTTTTTAAAATTATTCTTCAGTGATGAAATGATGTGCGATTTCCAATTATTATTTTTTTTTCTTTTTACGAAGAAAATAAAATGAAATCGATCGGTTTTCGATTAAAATTTTATAACGAGCGAGAAATGATAATAAATTTTTCCATCCAGTCTCAGTACGAGTGCAAGGACAGCCGCGAATCACCACGCAGAAGCAGCAAGGATGTCGAGTCCGAAAACGTGTCATCCTCGGGGCAAACCACGAAGATCGCTATCGACACTGGCACGGAATCATCCACGGAATGGAACACGAGGAATAGTTCCTTGAGGAAAATAGAGAACACTCCGATCCGTGACACGAGCTCTGTCCTCGAGAAAATCGGCGAATTTCACAAGGTAAAATTAATATCGGCAATAAGAGCGGTATAATATCTAAAACGCTTGAATGAAGAAAACGCACAATTTTGTTAATTTTCAACAAAAGTAATCGAATATATTCTGTTCCACATTGTCGAGATACGCTTATGATTCTTTTAGAGCCTTCTTTTATTACTAGCTATTGGCTCGTTCCTTTCCTTATTTTTGCTTTATTGTTAAGAAAGAAGCAATAAGAAAGGAGTTAAAATTTTACGGCCGTTCCTTGTCAATCGCAGCAAGCCATAATAGCGTAACAAAAAAGAAGAAAATAATAACAATTACAATATCCGCTAAAAAAGAAAAAAGAGGTTATACAACGCCAACGTTAAACGAACATTCCCTGAAACTGTACGAGATCCTATATCGTGAATTCACGATATTTCGCAGCATCAACACGCTCGAGGCAGGGACGCGACAACTGGTTCGCTCCATCGAACTCTGAGCATTCACACGACTGCGATCGAGCAGACTTACATGGCCGAGGAATGTGACGAGAACGACTATCACTTCGATCTCGATTCCTACAAACCGGTGCAGCCAATCACGATCGACCATGGGGTCGCCTTATTTCCTGTCGCCGCTCCCCACACAGGAATGGATCTGCATCTATTGCAGGTAAACATGCAATTTATGGTCTCGTTATCGACGCCCTGTAATTTCCCTCCCTACGATTCTCCCCCTTTCTTTTCCACCCCCTCTCGCGTGACTCGCATGATAAAATGTAGCGATAAAATGTTGATTCAATTTTCTACTTTATGGAATGCGTGTGTGCGTGTGTGTGTGTTCTTTGAAAGTATTTCTTTTTTTTTTACCTGTGTAATGCACACTTGTTTCTGCATTTTGTGATTTGAATTGCTAGTTTGTGCTATTACGTTTGTATCACAAAGAATATTTTTTTATCGCGAAGAAATGATTTTTCTAGGATAAAAGTGTGTTTTGCGAATAGTTATATATATATCTGCGACACAAACATGTAGGAAATAAAATTGTTACTATAATAATGGAACTTTGTTTGGTTGGAGTAATGTGTAGATTACTATTAAAGGAATATGGGTGTAATATCTGGTTAGACGAAATCGCGAACAAAGGATCGCGACCTATTTTCGGATAAAACATGGATTTAATCCACTTGTCTATCGACAAAAATTAACGAAAATTTTATATTTTGAATAGAAATAAACTTCGGCACGATCCATTAAAAAATATTAAAGTTCAAAGAATAAGAAACTTTCTAACTTTAGGATAATCGTTATAAGACGCGATTCGTTAGAACGGGGACGATTCTAAAATTCCGGCTATTTATGCATCCGTCACATGTGTGTACGGATGCAGCTAGCGTGTATATAAACGTTGAAAAGAGGAGAGACACGACCTTACCCTCTTACAGACGATTTCGAAATATTAATATTCCAACGTCCAGCTACTTTGTAGTTAGTGGACGTGGTGCAGGGCCAAGATAAAAGACGTCGTCAGCGTGGTTTTCCTGCGTTTCAAAAGGATTTCAAAGGGACTGACTTTACCGTGCCAGCTCAGGTACACTTCGTGCAAATTCGCGAGGAAGAAAGAGAGAGAGAGAGAGAGAGAGAGAGAGAGAGAGTCGGAGATCGTGTAAGAAATGAAAAGGATTAAAGGTGGAAGAAGAAGTTAGAGGAACCGGGTCACTCGTCCGAAACTCGTCTCTTTCTCAATTATTTACTCGTAGAAATCTCGAAAACGAAGAATCGATAATTTCGGTCGAATCAAAGAGGAAAAACTTATACTCTGAGAATGGAGAGAGAATTCGAACGAGGAATCGATATAAAATTCTATTAAATTTAAAAAAAAAAAAAGTCTCATGTTATTATTCAAATACTCTTTGAGTCGCGCAAATCAATTTTTAAAATTTATAAATTTACTCTTCGTTGCAAAAAACAAAAAAAAAAAAAATAATATCCCAGAGGTCAAGCTTGAATTCTGACGAATAAAATTAACACGGTAACGTGACGTTAATACCGCGATTAAACACATGGAAAACAGTTAAGCGCGTTAAAACGAGTGTCTCTTAGCCATCATCTCTCGTAGCCATCTTTATTCCGAATAAGAGTAAAAGCGCCACCTGTGAAACTCCATTACGGGGAAGCGAGGCGAACGATTTTCCACGCAGCCGACATCGCATACATTCATCCGTTGAGTGTTTCGCCGCTCTACCAGCACCCGATTAATCTATCCATACCCATACGACGAAGATAAATAATTTCAACTCCCTCCCCGCCACGCTTTTACAAGTGATCGCTTGGATTGCACTTATGGCCGACCACCGTATAAACGTTGGCTGTTCCAACCGCGTTACAAGTTCCATCAGCGTGTTATAAACACAGCCGATGCCGATTTTCCCGCACGACTCGGTGAGATATCCCGCTTAAAAACGATCTTAACAGCCAGAGATTATACCCGTGGAATCGCGCGAATTGCCAGATCTTAGCCGCGATCTTTCGTTTCGCATTCTTCTTCCACGGGTTTTAATCAAATCTCGATGAATAATTTAAGATAGTAAGGCTTGAGGATTAACTTCTCGTTCGCGAGATAATACCATTGCCGAGATGCGATAAAATGTGAGGGAAAAAATTGATGGAAGGATTTTTTAACGATTTTTGTCTTTTTATATATATATAGAGGATAGTTGATATTTTTAATTTTTATTGGAGATATTTCGATTCTTTTCTTCGATGAATATTTATTGAATATACGTATGTGGAAAATTTTTGGATCAGACCAAAGTTGATTGGATAAAAAGAATTATGATCTTGTCGTAGTTTTTTTTTTTTCTTTATTACATTTTTTTGTAATAACCGTATGAAACTTTATAGCGAAATTTGAAGTATTTTAAAAATATTACAGAAATTTGAAACAGGTGTATATGTAAATAAGTTTGTTTTCGAAATTGCTTGTCAATCTATATGCATATACACGCCTATTGTGTATCTTTTTCATCACTATCAGAGTTATCTTTCGTAAAATTTCTGTGAAAATGAATTTTCTTAAAAAAAAAAAAAAAAAAAAAAAAAAACAAATATTACTTCGAAAAAAACGTTTACAAATTTTTCGTTGATTTCGTTATTGATTATGATCCAGTAATTTCCAATAATTTTATATTTTATACGTCTAGAAACGATAATAAAAAAATTGATCAAAAATCAAATTTCTCACGCATCTATCGATTATCTTTATCGAGATTGGAATAAAAATATTTAAACAAACATTTGCTCGGAATTATGAATGAACGTGTCTAATCGATATATCCGGAAAAGATTTATCCATTTATTTTCCCTGTTTGCATCGGAAACAGCGTCCCGATATTTTTCGATTTAAACTTACAATTAGATATTGGGATCGGTTTCTGATTACAATTTCATCGCGCAATACAGGTTAAGGGAGAGCAAAGTTAGGAACGGTTTCATGCAAATGTTCATTTAATCTTCAATAAACTCGTTTCGATCTCAGTTGCCCAAAGGCGTATTCTTTGCTAAAGATCTTAGCCCCTGGTAACGAACCAACCTGAGCATTTACAAACACGCGTTTATATGAAATAGCGGATGATTTTAAAGACGTTCTACGCTTTGGAAATGAAAGGAGACGATTAACATAATTTTTGTCTTTTGCACGAGTTTAACGAGATGCTCGAGCAGAGATGTCATATAATCCTGTGTCCCTTCAGTCAAGGACTTCAATATCTTCGATATTCTTCGACATTTAAGCAGCCATGTATTCTTTTTCTTATTTCCACTTTATGATTTAATTGCGCTCAACCAATTGATGTAAATCTTTTATAACTTCTTTATGAATGTGATCGTTCTCGTTTCAACAGCATCTGAAAGAAACGAAAGGAAAAAAATATTCCTTTTAATTTAACGAAAGAGGGTTTAACTTAGAGAAAGGAATTATTCATAATGGAAGTATGTGTTAGTTTTTTTTTTTTATTCTCCTTTTCTTTACGCCAAAGCTCGTGATCCTTGAAACAAGATAGAAACAAGACATTCTTAAGAAAGAATGTGATCTATACGCAATTTTTAGCACGCATGCAGAGTACATAGGTATAAAGTGAAGTGTCTCTTCTGATGTAAAATCATAAAAAAGAAAAAAAAAAAGAAGAAATGTGCGTGGAGGATACAGTGGAAGAACATCGGACATCAAGTGCATTTCATGTATTCAAGTATCATAAACCAGTATCGTATAAAAAAGGTCACAGTGCATTTATCAAGTCTTTCTCTTATGTTCTTCGTATAGAAAGAAGGGAGATTAAATTTCAGCATTTAATTAAACATAAATCTTCTATATATAAAATTAAAACGAGAGATCAGAAGAATTAATCAATCTTTAATTATTTCCCTCTTTCCTTTTCGATTTTTCTTTTTTATAATCCAATTCATCCAATCTAAATAGATGTTAAAGAATAAGCCGTTGCAAAAGATAATACGTACAATATGTGACTCTATCTTCTTTTCTTCTTGAATACTATAGACGAGAATCGAGAGTGATTATCTCCTATAATAAAATTAACATTTGGACATTGAAAATTATTCTCGAAACTAAAGTGTCCACTCGGGGAAAAATATTCTCCGATGAGCAACTCTCCAAACTTCTACTCTCAAACCTAGGAATGTAATCACAGTTTCTAATAGTTTCGAGAACAACCCTCGAGAGCTCCACTTTAACATGTACACACCGCCCTAAGAATATAATCACAGTTTCTAATACTTTCGAGGGCAACGCTCAAAGACTCTCTATACGCTTGAATATACGTGAATCTCTTAAAGACATATATGTACAAAACTTTCTACTTTTTCACCATAAATTTCTCCATATTCCGAGGAAACATATAACGAGGAAAATATTCGGTTGTGTGCCAGGTGTTGCATCACGGGACGACGTTGGTTCACTGGGACTGCGAGGGCGCTGCGACGAGGACGGCGTTGGTTTTCGCGCGAGTGGATCGTGCCTGCGGCACCTTCGTCTGGGAAAAACCGCCGTGGAGCCCGTTGAAGACCGCGCAATTAGGCGGCACAGCGTCCACGGAGTTCTCCCTAACTGCCAACCCGGAGGACACGGTGCCCGCCGGTCTGTTGGGCAAGTATACCGCCCAACAGCAGACCGATTGCGCCTCCGTCACATTGGAGGAGGGTTACCTGAACCTGAGCTCCGTGAAGGAGGTGATGATCGGTTGCTGCGATCGGGACAGGGAGACCGAGCTGAGGGGCATTTGCAAGAGGTACGGCCTGTCCGGATCCGACTCGTGCATCGGCCTTATGTACGGCTCCAGTCTGCCGGACAATCGACTGATCTTTCTACTTTGCCCTCCTGCGCTTAGCAAGTAAGTACTACGCGCCACTACGAGTTTCTCTTTATGGATTCAGAGCCTCGAACTCATTCACTCGAAAAAATAAACTCTAGTTTACAAATTTAAGAATAAAATTGAATTCGTGGCTGTTATAATAGATTCGTATAATTTCGTAGTATATATATATATATATTGGTTATTCAATCTGTCGGACAATCGACTGATCTTTCTCCTTTGCTCTTTGCGGATTCTTGGCCATTCCTTCGACTTAAAAAAGTAAAGTTTAGTTACAAATTTAAGAATAAAGTTACTTTAATTATAAATCGAATAATATTTACTCGTGGCTATTATAATTGATCCACATTTGGTTGTTCGATATTTTGAATAATACGGCTCCAGTCTGCCGGACAATCGACTGATCTTTCTACTTTGCTCTTTGCGGATTCTAGGCCAGAGTCTCGGCCATTCACTCGACTCGAAGAATAAATTCTAATTACAAATTTAAGAATAAAGTTACTTTAATTATAAATCGAATAATATTTACTCGTAGATGTTATAATTGATCCGTATAATTTAGTAGTATATATTGGTTATTCGATGCTTTGAATAATACGGCTCCAGTCTGTCGGACAATCGACTGATCTTTCTCCTTTGCTCTCCTGCGCTTAGCGAGTAAGTAGCGCCCCACTACGATTTCCTCGCTTTTTACGGATTCTGGGCCAGATTCTCGGCCATTCACCCGACTCGAGCAAGTATATTCTGGTTGCAAATTTAAGAATAAAGTTACTTTTAATTATAAATTATATTAAAGCAATTTTATTCTTAACTTGAACTGTTAAAAATGAAACAATTTTGAATAGTTATAATTTGATTGATTAAAGGGATTGTATCGCGTATCTTTCCATTGAAGATATTTTAAATCGTTTTAAATGGTTTTTGAGAAAAGACATATATTGGGAAATGAATAGTTAGAATATATCGATTTTATTATATTATTACATTTAGATTATATTATTACGAATGTACAATTATTCTATATATCTTCTCGAACAAAAATTTTATGTCTAGATTTTATGTTAGTTAGTTTACTGTTCGGATAAATATATCATCTTGTTAATCATGCTCGTCTTCGCGATATACAATTTTCAAGATACAACCTCCTAATATCAGCTTCAAAAGAATCATCTCTGAAACACGGTATTTACTAAGAATGCCTCCTTTGAAACAGATCTGAATCGTATATATGTATGTGCGTTTTAAAATACCTTTGATGGCAATGTACTTTCAGCATCTCATCCAATGTCTCTCTATTGAAACATCTTTCAAATGGACTTATAAAATATACCAGATATCTTTTATGGAAACACACGTAATACATCATACTTACTTAGAACGCCTATACGGCGAGTGTCGATCCATCTTAATAACATCTCTTGCGCATTGCATAATTTATTAAACACAACACGTTTAATTCGAATCAATTTACACGCTTCGGATATTTACAATGCTTGGTACATTTCATAATGTTTATTTCATCGTAATTTTTAAAATTATTTTTAATTTTGAATTTTCTTATTACTTATTATTCTTCTTACGCCAAATTACCAAAAAAAAAAACTAGTTGAAATTCGTGAAAACAGAGATTACCCTTAAATCATGTTAGAAGAGAGAGCTGTAGATCAGCGAAACGTTGCACACATTTTTTCCAGGGAATATACTGTTACGACAAACCTTTATCCAACGCTAATACCGTAGCTCGTGGATCGTGCACAGAATGGCTATTTTATCGAGTCTACGTAAATTGACGAATATGGTACTCTTGAAAAAAGAGAGAGAGAGAGAGAGAACCGGTATCGAAGGAGTTATTACAGTTTCGTTGCTACTTCTCGTTTCCCTTGAACATGGATTGTACAAAGGATTTCAAATAAGGGTACGTGTAATGATGCAACGTTGCAAACGGTAATCCCAAAAGGAAAAGGCAATCTATTACGGGATAAAGTATTTACGTGTAACGACAAAATGACTTTGATAAAAAGTATGAAAAATATTGGTCTGATCGAAACAAAATTGCACTACTTACTGTTCACTTTAGCGATAGAAATGCTAGTTGTAGATACCTGTATATATAAAAATAAATTGAAATACAAGATAAAGTGCACGGAATTACGAGAACGCCGATCGATTTCGAAATATTACAGAGAAATCTTCACGTAACACGAGAAGAATAAAGCTTCCCTTGCTCGGATATATTATGCGAGGAATTTAATAAAAGTAAATGCCAAAAACTCTTAATAAATACGAATCACGGTAATACGTATGGGAGAAAGGTCAGCCACGACACACGTGGCGGGATGTGAATAAAGATTTCAGATTCGGATTTTTCTCGCGTGAATTTTGCCGCGAATTTAAAGAAAGAAGACACGCGCGTGGCCACGTATTTTGTACGATAAAAGAAATTTTACATACGACTCGACGAATATCTCGTCAATTTTCGAATGACGTATAAATATCGCCGATTCGAATCATCGATCACAGCCTCGGTGATCGTAATTTACGAGTGTTCGCACGTGCGAATCGTTATCAGTGATGCAATACAATTTCGTCCAAAGCAAAGCCTCGTCCAATGTGTAAAAAATCCTTGAAAAAAAACGAAACGTGGGATTCTCGTTCGATCATCCATCCCGTACAGTCATCCGCAATATCCGCGCACGAGATATTTTGCGATGATACTGGAAAATATATGTATTTATTGAGAATAAACGGAGCGTATTTTATAATAAAGATGTGCGATTGTCGTATTTGTTCCAGAATTTGGTATATGGGTCTTTGCTGGATATTAAGAGGGCTGAAACGGCAACAACAATTAACGGATCGTAGGTCGCGATGGTTGAAAGAGAAATATCTTCAGCTTTATTTCGAGGAAGGCTGCCTCGAGCCAATGACAGCTGACGCTATAAGGGCTTTCGGCGGTCGCGATTGGTCCATGACTGAAAGTATTGGAACGCTTTCGCCCACGAGTAGCGGCAATCCTCGTAAACGAAACGCCAAAGGGAAGAAAACGAAATCTATCGGCAATATTCATGCGTTAACAAAGGTTCGTGATCAGACACGATTAATCCATTAAATTTAGTATTGTAATTGACAATTTGTTCAAATGAAATAATATTTGTAAAATAATATTCAAGTTTTTAAGCTTGAAAAAATAATATACGCGATTGTTTGATAGAATTTCTCATGTTTTATTCTTCGATCATTAATAACAGTTAGACGATTCAGAATAGAATGATAGAGAAGTAATTGGAAAAATAAATTGATAAAAATGCGGCCGAGTGATTTTTGATTAAGATATTACGCGGGATTGTTCGAAACAGGATTTGGGCCTAAAGCAATTCGACTCCTCGTCCTCGGATGGAGGCTTATCAACGGCCCCACTTCGGCATATTACGGGTAGCAGGGAATCCTTGACGAGAATCATACCGGCATCCCCACGGTCTAGCAGGGATCGAGTGCCCCCACGCAGCCCTCCCGGATCAGCCGAACGAATTATTAGTTCCAACTTGCCTTACTCCAGCTTTCAGAGGTAAGGATTCCGATAATTTTCGCCCCTCTGAAAGGAATTGGACGAAAAGAGGGCGAAGAATAGAGAAGTAGAGAATAACCCGACTTTTCAAACTCTAGAAATTCCCGATAGTTCTTGATTACTTCCGCCCTCTCCATTAATTGCACCCCATTATTCTTATAAAGCTGCAACATCAACAGCGCAGCGAACCGAGATGAAAAGACACTCGTGTCTTTTTTTCTTCCTTTTTTTTTTTTTTTACGTTAAAATGGAAAATCTTGCGAATTAATTAAATCGCTGATTATACGATATTACGATAAAATATCATGATTTTATATTTTCCTGGAACGAATTAAATTAATCAATTAATCAAACGCGGGTATTTTCTATTTCGTCACTCGTCTAAGGAATTGAAATTCCACAAATTCATTAAAAGTTTACCTTTAACATCGCATTGCGAAGAGTTTCGAGACGAGATTTTATCTATCGAAACGACGATATTTTCAAAAAAAATTTCATAATTCAAAAAAACAATAAACGCGTTCTTCCAACTTTAATAATGATCCACCCTCGATCTTGTTATTAATCACGTTATTAATTGTAAAAACGATGTATCGAATAAAACGCATCCGGTAACATTGTTTGAAATGGTACTCACACAGCCTATTGTGCGTGGCTAGAGACAAGGATAAGAATGGATCGGGAATGTCAGGTGGGCTGGAGGCGCCTTGGCAAGTGAAGGCGCGCACCACTTCCATAATGTACGAAACCCAGTTGAACTTTGTCGAGTTCGTCGCTTTGTTCCGTTCGTTCAGCCTGAGAGCGAGAAAGGATTTGCGCGACTTATTCGGCCAATTGGCGATCACTTGCCGTAGCCAGAGCGACGGCTCTTTGAGGGATTTTAATGTACGCCCGCCTGTGTTGAGGCAGACCAGTGATGCAACCCCTCAACGAATCGGTCAGTTATATTTATATATCGTTAATTATCAACAACTCTAAAATGATTTTCTTCCAATTTCAATTTTTTTAATTTTAAAAATTTGGCACGTTCGATGCGATTATATTTTAAGAAATGTAAAAGAAGAGATTTTCGATCGTTCAGTTTTTTCCATTTGCATGTCATTTGTTCCGTGCGTGGATCGATAAATTGTTTTTGAATTTCGTTGTGTTTTTTCATCCTTTCCTAAAAAAAAAAAAAATCGATATCCACTATTATCGATTCGTGATGTCGCATCGAACGTGTCAAGCAATTATAATTTTATATCACTTAATCTTATATTACTGTTATTTTTACGATTCAAATATTTCTGCTAAATATTTCTTACGGTCAAACACGCGTTCGTTGTTTCGAAAAGAATCGAAGAATGATTAAGTTTCACGAATAGATCGTTCGTTTCAATTTTTGTTAATCTAAAATGTGTAATCGAAACAGGTCTTTTAACGAGGAACAATTCCATAGACTGTCGTGAGTACAAAACGAGCAGCAACCTTCAAAAGAAGCAAGTTTTTGACGCGGTGGCTGCAGCCAGTATCGTTAATAATTGTTCCGGCGTTGATACCTCGAAATCGCAAGTAATCACCCTGGCGACGTTCACAAAATTTTTGGAATCTCGTCAACAAGAGAAATTGACCGACGACGAAATCAAGGCGCTGGTCAAGGTAACGATAAAAAATACACGAACTTCCTTTACTTTCATTGTTTTTGTCCACTTGAAAAGTTCAACGAAGTCCGCGAAAAAAAAAAATAACCGACGTTTATTTCTCTTCATTATTATAAAATGAAAATAAAGAGAACTTTATTTTTTTGTTTGAAATCATGCGAATAAAATATCGGGTGAATATATTCATTGCATCGTGACGAAATGGTTGTGTTTATTTAAAAAAAGAAAAAGTAATAATAATAATATATTCAAACAATAATATGGGAATACTTGAACGCATTGAATAAACAATCGCAGTTAATACGGTGATATTATAAAAAGAAACATTTCGAATAAAAATATATATACATTGGAAGACATATTAAATAATCAAAAATCGATATAATATATCATTTTATCGTTCACTGATTGCGCGCGTGACGTTTGACGACATAATGGCAAAATATAAAATTATATTTCGTCGCGTAAATTGATTTCAAATTTTTAAATATTTCTCCCTCTTCTTCTTCTTCTTCTCCATCGTAAGAAAGTTTTCATGGAGAAATGGCAGCGTTCGAGGCATCAAGTGTATCGATCGCGTGAATCGCGGGTCACGATTATTTTCCTACATCGAACAAGTCACGTAATGCGGTTGATTACTTGAAATTAGGATGCGTAACATCAATGACATTGTTCCGCCGTTCTGAGGTTATGCCGTTGTGGCACAACGGGGCATACAAAGATATTGCAGAGCGGCACAATCAACCGAGACGATTTGCTCTGATTCCAGCGACACGAGCCGGACCCAGGGCTACGCACACAATGGTGTTTGTCTTTCGAGGGCTTTGCACGCTACATGATGGACAAGGACAATTATGCTTTCCCAAACGAGTATGCAACGCCGTTCGAGACTGAAATGCAACAGCCGTTGTCCCAGTATTACATCGCCAGCTCGCATAATACTTATTTAACCGGTCATCAACTCAAAGGAGAATCATCGGTCCAGCTTTACTCTCAGGTAAACGAGAGAGCTTTGTGAAACGTGATGTAAAAGAAAATTTTAGAAAAAAAAGAAGAAAAACAAGAAGTTGCAGATCATAAATTTTAGATAGTTTTAAAACATAAAAACGTTGAAAAGATTCGATTCGAAAAGGGAGATGGATAAAGATTTTTCTACTCCCTTTCTTATTGTTGGAGAAAGAAGAAAAATTGGCAAAGTCGAAAGTCGATGGATCTGGATATTGGAAATTGATTGGAAACGAGTGAAAAAGTAAAGGGGTTAAGGTAAAAGGGAAAAAAAAAAGAAGGTGTTTGATTAGAAAATTCCATGGAGGATGTAAAGGAATTTCGTGGAAAAATTAAGAGTTGAATTCAAGATAAGAATCTTGAAATACGTATATATATATATATATACTTTGCCATCGCTATAATGAAAAAACCTTCCAAGAATCGCATCAATCGTAGTCGATAGAACGATTCAACTTTCCACGCGATTACTCTAAATTCGAATCACGCGAAAAGTAATCTTTTCCGTGTAAACGTTTAGTATGAAATAAATTCATGCATTCTCGTGAAAAATAATAAAAATAAGGAATACGATTTTAACGTTTCTAACGATGACGGAAGATATGATTGAAATTAACTGATGTCAGTGATAAAATATAATTCGTGAAAGTAAAATTTTCGAAAGATAAAATGAGCAATGAAACGGTAAGGTTGTGACGATAAGCTCATTTTCCAGGTACTACTGACAGGATGCAGATGCGTTGAACTCGATTGCTGGGACGGCGATGATGGATCCCCTGTTATTTACCACGGTCACACTTTCACTACCAAGATACCGTTTCGCTCGGTCGTAGAAGCGATTGACAGAAGCGCTTTCGTCAGTTCCCCGTACCCTGTCATTCTCTCCATCGAAAATCATTGCTCGCAAAGCCAACAAGCTCGAATGGCCCAAATATTTCAAGTACGTCATCCTACGTTCCAAATATTTTGTATTAATTAACATTGATTATTTTTCCAAATCCAAGAACCATGTTTTTTTTTTGAATAATTATGAAACAAGTAATCATTAAAATTGCGCAAAATTAATTCTGCTCGAAAAATTGAAAAAAGTTCATTTTAAAAAGTAACTTTAATTTAGTAATTTCTTCTTTTCTTTTCGTTTTTTTTTTTTTTGTCGTTTATCAAACTTTGACGAATTACTGTACTACTATTTCATATTTCAGTCGGTATTTGGGGACAAACTAGTGACAAAGTTCTTGTTTGAGACCGACTTCAGCGACGATCCCCAACTGCCATCGCCGTCGCAGTTGCGCTATCGAATATTAATCAAGAACAAGAAACTGGTGGTAGATCCTGCCGGCCCATTGGCCCATCCTCCTTTGAGCCATCGTGGAAAAATGCTCATGACAGATCGCGCATCGTCTATGAAACAGATGCGAACCGACGTGAGCAGCGCCTCCGTCGTTTCCGAATATTTCAGCGAGGATGACGATGACGAGGAAGATGACGACGAGGACGACAATATCGATGGTAATATTTTTCCCTCCTCGAAATCTGTTAAATATTTCCTTCCTTCCATTTCATTCCCCCACTCTGATAATTCAATTATAATCGTATCGATCACAATTATTAATCTCGCAAACTGATCGAAATTTTAGAGCGATTAAACGAAGAGGGAAGCGTAACACGAGAGTTTTGCCTTTACAGATAACTCGATATCCAGCTACGAAAGGTATTTGGGCGGGACCCAGGTGGCGCACACTAGGTTAAAATCAGATTCCGCGGTCGACGATAAGTCACAGAAACAAAGTAGCCAAATAGCCAAAGAACTTTCGGACTTGGTGATTTATCTGCAAGCTATTAAATTTCGTGGGCTGAACACGACACCGGGAACCGCGACTATCGGGAAAACGCGTCATCAACCGCACACTGGACCTGTACAGAGGCACAGTATAGCTGGTATTGGAGCGACTAGCATCGGTGCATCTTCCGGTTCACCACAATCCCTGTCAACATCAGCCTCGTTAGCAAGCGGCGGGAGCAATATCGAAAATCTGTTCAGGTTAGTTTTTCTAAAACCGATGAGAATATTCACTAGGTTAATAAATTCGGTTGATGAAAAAAGGGCGATTTTCAATCATTTATCTTCAACTCGATTAAATCCAATTGAAATTAGGAAAAGTTTGAGTCGTTATAACTTCGAAGATAACTACTTTCCGTCAACGAGTAAGTGATTATTAAAAGCATGGAATCCTTCACTTTATCCCGATTCGACTTCCGGTTCTCGAAATATCAACGCGTAAAGAAAAAGGCGATTTTTATTTATCTTAAATCTGATTAAATCCTGATTAAAACTTTGAACCTCCACGAGGATAATTATTTTCGATCAATGAATGAACGATGATCATTCACGAAGCGTGAAATCTTGCTCTTTGAAACGCTTTTTGATTCCCGAGATATCGTCGTGCAAAGAAAAGAATCTCTCTCGTCCCGTCCAGCCAAACGAGTGACAGACGCGATTCCTAGAAGTAGTACGCATTTTTAGGAAAAAATGTAGGTCACTTGCTTACTCGTTCATAAGCTTCTTAATTATTATGGAAACGTTCGAATATCCTTATATCTCGGCAACCAATCGAGATATCGAGATAACTCAAGAAGTGACTTTAATGGATCTCCTCTATACGTTCTAGATTTCGTGAAAAAATTTGTAATTTTCTCGGAATATAAAATATGCAGAAATTTATATTTATACTCTGTAATATTTCAGATTCACTCGCGGAGTTCCAGCTTGTTTCCAATGCTCCTCCCTGAATGAGAGTACGGCGAAAAAGATATGCAGGAAACAACCTCTAGGGGTTGTCGCTCATGCAGAAACCCAATTGATACGAACGTATCCAGCCGGTATGCGCATCGACTCGACGAATTTCAATCCTGTAATCTTCTGGGCCTTCGGTATTCAAATGGTGGCGCTAAATTATCAAACGGACGACGCTGGGCTGAATCTGAACGCCGCCATGTTCGAGCAAAACGGGCAGTGCGGATACGTTAGAAAACCTTCGGTTATGTGGGACAAGGGTCACATGATGTACAGGTACTATACGAATCGAATCGAAATACAGAAACGAAATATATATTCTTGGCAAATAAAAATATGTATATATATAAAAAATTGATTCGCAGACGATTCAATCCATGGGACAAAGAATTCGACGGGCTACATTCGGCACATCTGACGCTCTCGATAGTTTCCGGCCAGTACGTCTCTCCAACGAATTTCGTGGCCAGCACGTACGTGGAAATCGAGCTGGTCGGCATACCGATCGACTGCGCCAAGCATAAAACGAAAGTGATACAGAGCAACGCGCTCAATCCGATTTGGAACGAGAAATTTTGCTTCCAAGTAATGTTCAAGGATCTGGCGTTTCTGCGCTTCGGAATCGTGGAGGCGAGCTCCCATCACTTGATCGCCCAAAGGGTGATCCCGTTGAAATGCTTGAAGCCCGGCTACAGGCACGTGCGCCTACGCTCCTGCAAAAACAACCGTTGGCCCTGTCCACCCTTTTTATCTATTCCCGCTTGGAGGAGGAGAGCCTCGATTACAACACGTGTTGTCGGGATCACAAGGAGTCGTCGAAGCGGCCCTCGTCCGGGAAAGAGCCTGAAAAACTGACCACCGTCGATCCTGGATTAGGCGGAGTTACGTTGAAGAGGAGGATGTTCTTCCTGATGGTTTACCACGTGATACCGGACGAACCGTACACCATACTGAAAGTGACGCAGGAGAGCACGACGCAGGAGGTGATGCTGCAAGCTCTTCAAAAAGCTGGAATATCAGCGGACCGGGTCGACGAGTACATTCTGGTCGAGGAGGTGTCCCGTGGCTGGGAGAAGAGGGACAGGGAAGAGCTGCCCACCCAACGTGTACTGGATCCGACCGAGCATCCGTTGCAGGCCCAAGCCCTGTGGAAGGGGCAGGGTCGTTTCCTGTTGAAGAGGGTGGGCGACGATCCGAGCAGCAGGGCTTGGCTTGCCTCGATCAGAAGCACGGCCGGTCACTCGAAGCTCGACTCCGAGAGGGACACGTCGACGCACATCTGGGACGAGGCCGACACGTTCCTCGTCTGCATCTACAACGTGTCCCCCGACATACCGTACGCGATACTCCGCGTGCCTGTCAGCAGCTCCGCCCAGGACGTTCTGGCCCAGGCCCTGGTCAAGGCAAGAAGGATGGAGGACCCGATGAAGTTCGCCTTGGTCGAGGAGCTGGAATGGGGTGGGACCGGGGCCGTGGGGAGCGGTAGTCGCCAGCTGAGGGTGTTGCGCGACGAGGAGAACGTGTACAGCACCCAGGCCTTCTGGAAGACGCTCGGAAGATTCATCATGAGGGAGAGGGAGCAGGCGATACCAAGGCGGCACCTGTTGCCGGCAACCCTCGACAGGCTCAGCAAAGGTTTCTCCGTGGGTAGATCGGTCTCGTTGCCCGGCTCGAGCAAGGAGAAGGTCCCCGTCTCGGAGGCCCTCTCCGACCCCACGTCCAGGGGGCTCAGACATCGTCTGCTCATGCACGGGCGTAGGAGGGAGGTTCACTCCGATGGCGAGGATACCCGCGAGTCCGACATCTTGAACGCGGCCCTCCACTTGAAAAAAGTCTCGTTGAGAAAGTTGAGGGTGTGGAAGTCATAGTGGCAGTCAAGGGCGACGTCGATATCGTCGATCTTCGCCACTCGGAGAAACCAACCGTAAGTTACGATCGATAGGATCGTTATAGAGGAAGCCTTCGAATGAATCGAGTCGTTTTTTAAAGAAAAAAACAAAGAAAAGTAACGCCACTCCACTCGATAACCAGCATTGGAACCGGTGGTATATAGTGAAAGGAAAGAAAGAAAGGAAGAAAAAAGATGCCTAATTGTACTCAACACTGCTTAAAATATGCTATAAATCTGGATCTTTAAGAAAAAAAGAAAACGTTATTACTTGGAGATGGAACCGGTGTTAGCGACGAACAGTATCATCGGTTGAGACAGAGTTTGATTGGACGTAAAAAAAAATTGCAAAAAGACACGCTCGTGTTTTTGAATAGGTTTGAGAGGGAGAGAGAGAGAGAGAGAGAGAGAGAGAGAGAGAGAGAGAGAGAGAAGAG